CGAGCATTAGCAAGTCAGAAAAAGTCTGAAAATCACTGAGCCAGGATATTAAGAGATCAGCCTTACTCCCTAATTCTCCACCTTATTCCCTAATTCACTTTCAAGATGAGAAAAGACTCCATCTCAAATGATCTCACTGCAGCATCAGCTCCAAGCCAAGCAGATAAATGGCCTTGCAAAAAGCTCTCTCAGTCAGAAATGGTGTGAATTAGGTCAAGGTTGGGATAATGCAGAGATCAGGAAACAGGGCTTCCACGTGAGCCAAAAAGCTAAGTGCTAATAGCCAGGAGAGCAATATATAATGAGCTCTTAAGAAGAACAACACATAACTAACCCATATATTTCCTCACTGGCAGTCAGCTGCATGTTGGTGCTTTAATGAAGTTACAAGGCAGAACACAGGAGTATCTAATCTCCAGAGAACATTATTAGTGAAGACAAACTACATTTCACAATGCTGCCATTATTTTTGCTAGCATCTCATTAATCATTTAATGGTCATTACGCATTATTTGCTTAGCCTGGGCAGAGTACTCAGCTGTGCAAAAATACTCAGATTCAGGTGGTCGCTGCCCCACAGAGCCAACAGAGCTTTAATTTGTCTCTGCTGCCAGTATCCATCAGTGCCTAGTGTTTGGAGGGAGGAAATACTGCCCATGTCCTTCTTCACAGGCAGTTGAAATGGAAGGTGAGCTCTGCTGTGATAAATTGAAGATGCTGAAAGATTTCCAGGCAGTGAAAGGTAAAATCCTCTGTCAGCTTTACAGAGAAAGGCGGCAATGATGCTGCTCTGCTGTCCTCAGATACCAGTGGGAGACTGGTCCCCAAACTGTCTGAAAAAGGTAATAGAAAATAAAGCTCAGTTGCAACCTGCTGGTCAATTATAGACGGGCTCTCAGGGGTGTCTACCTGTGTGCCCAAGGGTTAGCCCAGGGCCCACCTGAACCACAGAGGAACAAGATATTGGTCTGCAGGCACTGTTGCTGGTAAAGGTGATTTATGGTGTTAATGGCCTTCACCTAAACACAGGATGACATATTTCCTCTAAGTCTTGAAAAAGCATTAACCCTTGTCCTCTGAATAAACACGGCCAGGTTTTCCAATGCACCAGCCAAGAGGTGCCAAAAGCAGAGATCGGACCACAGTCCTCCCGTGGTCACCTGGGAGAACATAGCTGCTCTCACACCACAGAGACGCAGCGTTTCACCAGTGACTTACTCATCCTCCCAGCACCCGGTGTGGGGGTGCATGGGGATCCACACTTAACCCCAAAAAGGGAAACTGAGGCGAGGAACACACGTTGCTCGGTACCTGCTCCTTGTGGCCATACAGTGCTCATTTTAAGTAAACACCGTGTGGAGGTGGCACCCGTGTGGCAATTAATGAGACAAGAAATTAGGAGGGAAGAGACATTCAGAGCAAAATTAATTTCATAGCTGTCTCCTGCAGTCTGGGAATGTGCTGGGCCAGTTCTGCATCCCAGTTTGTCTCTGGGTAACTCCATCGCCGACAACAGAGGCACAAAAAGGAGCGGGGCGATAACTCAACCCCCTGCGGTGCTGGTGGGGGGACCCCGACTGCAGCCCCCACTCGGAGCAGGACGGTCACCTCTGTCCCTCCAGGCGGGTGTCAGAGTTGCTGTGCCTTTGCAGATCAATTGTACAACCCACATTTTTAACAGGGGAAAAGTTGTTCTTTTTTGTGTGCCCTTACATCATCTCAGGAGCAGCTGACCAACCCATGTAACAGTTTTCTAAAAATATTTTGCCTGGGGCAGACATTCAGGACAGAAAAAAATTCAGTCCAGGTAATTAAATAATTTGTCAAAGTTGTAAACAGCTCCTAATGAGGTAACCCATCATCTCCCACACCACAGGCCAGGAGCGCTGCCACCAGAGCCCTGGGGGCCCTTCCCCGCTGCCAGGACAAGTGCTCCTGGCAATGGCCTGTTTCCAGCAGAGCAAGCTTCAGGACGGGTGAAATGTCTGCTCCTGGATACCGGCTTTCCTGGGGGAAAGAGGGTCCAGTCCCGGCACAGAAAAGGGAAACCAAAGTGTGACAAACCAACTCATATCCCCAGCACTTCACTCATTGCTGGGGTTTGGGGGAGGCCAGGGAGCAAGCAGGGTTACTGGCACAGCCACTGCCTCTGTCCTTCGGGGACCGACCCAACGGTGAGCGTGGAGCTGGTGGCACAGACTGAGGGCGCAGCCCCAGATACACTGGACCTGCGCTGCTGGCTCTCTGCTCCCCACCTAAATATATGTATAAGGGCTTGCTCTGGATATGCACACACCCTGAAGGCATGCATGCTGTGTGCACAGCACCGGTGCTGCTCCAGCATCGCAGGCTCATGCACAAAACTGACCATACCATCCGTTCTGCTGAATTTGTCCTATTTTAAATTACCAACTCAAGTTTTGGTGATGAAATTATCCTTTTCCCCAAAGCAAGAGGGACTGATGGCTGTGCTGCACCAAAAGGGCTCTCACCTATAGGGTGAGGGTTTCCCACACCTGTACCCACCACCCTCTCCATCACCTGAGGCAAAAACCTTACAGTTGGTATTTTACTCCTATAAAGGAGCGGGGAAGGGTGTCCACTTCCCTCTCCCCGTGTTCTGCAGTGCTGAGGCAAAAGCAAAGGATTGTCCAACGTGGACATCCAAAAGATGCACTGAGGAACAACAGCTTCCAGCACGGTTTTGGAGTTTTGCTGCCAAGGAGCAGCTGCCTTCCTCTGAGGACGGTGCCCCTGTCCAACAGCCCGGAGAGCCGCAGGCAGCCTCGCAGCAGGCTCAGAAAGGTGACCACACCGCTGGGGACATGGGGCAGGTTATGAGAGAGAGATTATTTTAGTCCTTGTTTCCTCTTTGTTTCACCCTAAGAACTGAGTAATCAAATGTGCTTAGTTTTGAGAATCATTTTGAAGATTTGCCCATGTCTAGCAATTTACTTACCTCAAGGGTCCTTTGTCTCTCTCTCCCCTGGAAGCTCCCGATGTCTTTTGCGCAAATTAAGGAATATTCCCTTTCTTCTATGATTCAACAACTCCGTGTCTCAGCTCTGAGTTACTGGTGAGATCCCAGATCACAACAGAGCACAGTAATTACCCTGAGGCATCCTTCACAGACCTCTAACATCCAGGCCAGGCGAGTACATTTGGGAGAAGTAAAATTCCCTTGTAGCTTGTGCTGTCCAGAGGATGCTTCCTACTGTTTTCACATCTTATTTTCCTGAGCTGTGAGGAACTGTTTATCCTTTACTATGTTTTTGCCCAGGAGAGCTGGAAAGGCAAAATGATTTCTCTAAAGTAATTGTTCTACAGAGAGTGCACAACACTTTCTGAACCCGAGTCAGCACATAAATGCAAGCCGTTAAATGAGAAACCTAACGAGCATTAAAGCAGTTGGGAACTGAGACAGGCTGCATCCTGGCTAAAAATCACCTGTGGAGTTCAGCCAGGGATCCTGATGCCCTATAACAGCAAAATGGAGGGGTCCTGATGTCCTATAATGGCAAAATGGAAACATCAGTTGATTAGCAGTGGGTTTTTATTGCTGATGGATGAACACTAACAGTCATTTCCAGTCACAGGTAAAGGAGAACACAAATATTATGGTTGGTGCAATTGTATTTCCATTAGGCAATTGTAATTCCGTTAGGTAAACAGCGAGTTGCTGTTTAGATCGGAGGAGCTGACATTGCGGCCCTGTGAGTCAGCGTGTGTCGCACACCCGCCGTATGTGCCTGTGAGCAACTATAGGTACCCCTCCCCGCTGTTCCCTTTTGGCACCATCCCATCAAGGCAACCAGCCCTGCAACGGGAGCTGGCGTGGGCAGAAACCTCAGTGCGGGCAGCAAGTGTACTTCCCTGGAGATGGTTCCTCTCTTTTTTAACAAAATAGGTAAATGGAACACCCTTTTTTTTCCCCTTTCCTGAACATGTGTGGAAACCTGAGCTGAGAAGAAATCTGTTTTCAGATGAAAGCTGGGGAGAGGACAATGATGTTGAATATGTTAGAAAAAACCTGAGCTTCCATGTGTGGCAATGAGCTGTATTTATCTGTAAAATAAACTTTTGAGAGGAAAAGAGGAATTGCCTTTGGGATATTTAAAATGGACAGAAGATGATAATCCTGCCCCATGGGGCAAATGAGCTCCTCTGATTGCACCATGCCCTCTGACGGGGAGCAAGAAGGAGCCCCAGTGCAAGGGCGTTGGTCATGGATGTAGTATGGTACAAATGTCACAGTACATGTATGATGTGTAGCTGAGAGCAGCCTTTGCCCCAAAGTGCCATTCCAGGCTTTGAAACATATCGATTGTCACAGCCTCCTGACTGAAGGGCTGGTCCTTTCAGCCCATTTTCATAGGGAAACCTGAGCTCGCAGTGACGTGGCGTGCTCGGAGCCAGGCGTGTGTTCCCTGCCTCCCCCCTGCCCCGCTCAGGGCTGGGGACCTGCTTCACCAAAAAGAAACGGGGCGGCAGCAGTAACACAGACGAGCTCATTTGACTCGCCTGATTTCTCCCGGCCGATGAATCGCTCAACAGCCCTCAATCAGCAGAGAGGGCAGCTCACAGAGATCCACCGACGGCTCTCCGTTGAGCGTTAGCATCTCCAGGAGGGAGGGACCCAGCACTACCGGAGGCTGTCGCTGGTTGGCACGTGGGACAGCTCTGAAAATTAAAAACAGGGTGGAAAAAACATCTGCAGGAGGCTGTATTCATCTGCTCACCTAGAAAAGCTACCAGCTGCCCTGGAAGATAAGCATCGGGTGAGAGACAGACCTGTGAAAGCCGTGTGCCAGTGGGGAATCCCCAGCACAGGGTTTTCCCCCTGCCAAGCAGCTCTCTTTCATCCTCATCCTCCTGCCCCGACCAGCTGCAGGCTGAGCTGCCTCCCTGGCCCTGCGGCAGCAGAAGCGCGGGCGAAGGGAGACGGGCTGTGCCGGGCAGCCCAGGGATTTCCCAGGAGGAGCACCCCTGGCCAAAAGAACATGATGGACCGTTTCCGGATGATCTTCCAGTACTTCCAGTCCAACTCAGAGTCTGTAATGAATGGGATCTGTGGGCTGTTAGCCCTGGCTAGCGTAAAGATATATACCTGCTTTGACTTCAGCTGCCCTTGTCTGCCCCGCTACAACATGGCATATGGCTTGGGGATCATGTTTGTACCCCCCGTTGCCCTCTTCCTCTGCAGCCTCATCCTCAACAGACAGTCCCTGGTGATGCTGGAGGAGTGGAGGCGACCACAGGGGCGCAGAAAGAAGGACCTAGCTGTCATCAGGTGGGGTTTGCACCGCGCACCCTTCTTTCACCTCCCTCTTAGCTGTCTCGCCTCCATAGCTTTGATCCTCCTGGTAATTAATTTTCTTCTAAGCTGAGCTCCCAAGACCTTTCCCCATGAGCGTGGAGGGGCAGGGGCATGGTAAATGCATTTACAGTAGCAGAAATGAAGGCAGAGCCTCATCCCATCCCAGCAAAGGAGGGCAGGAGCACCCCGACACCAACGGCTGGATTTATGCTGCCACCCTGGGAAACCGCATTGCTGCCTGCCCTGATGTGAACACGCAGGGTTTCTCCTGGGGCTTACACGTGCAAAAAGATGAGGCATTTCCACTTAAACGTGCAGAAAGGGTGGCATTTCCATCACAGTCATTCTTTATCCATAGCCTTGTGGTTTCCCTCACTTCAGCTGAGTTTTTACTCACGCTGGTGGAAGGGAGAGGAGAACCGCATTCAATCTGCTACATACAAAGTTTTACCGAGTAAACAGGTTGGCACAGAGTGGGGCAAGAAAGGCTGCAGAGAAAAGTGATTTTCCAGGTAGAAACTGAGCTGATGAGAAAAGAAAGAGTGAATGAAGAAGACAAGGAAGAGCTGACAAGGATTTGTGCATGGGAGACATAAGTATATAGTCGAAGCAAGCACATAATGAGAGGACCGTGCACTGCACTGAATGCAGGCAGCACGCAGAGCACTGCCGTGCACTGGCACAGATTTCATTGGGAGGCAGCACCGAGAAAGAGATCCCAGAGCAGAAGAGGCATTAGCTGGAGCAATGCTGCGGACAGTCCTGAGAGTCAGCTCCCTGGCTCTGGGAGGGCTGCTTGGCATAGGGCAGCCTGCATCCATCAAGGCTCTGGATGAGGAGAAAGCTCCCAGCATTTACGCACTCATTTCTCTCTCTCCTGCCCCAGGTACCTGTGTTCCTCCATCATGCAGAGAGCCATGGTTGCCCCTGTCGTCTGGATCATAGTCAGCCTCCTGGATGGCAAATGCCTGATCTGCGCTTTCAGCGGCTCTGTGGATCCTGAGAATTTTGTGGGCTTTGCCAACGCCAGCCCGGTGCAGGTGCAGCAGCTGCTGGCCAAAGTGCCCTGCAAGGACGATGAGCTCATGAGGAACAACACGTCTCGCAAGGCAGTGTCCAGGTACCTGCGCTGCTGGTCCCAGGTAGGTCACTGCTGGCAGAGCCCCCCATGTCGGTGAGGTGCCTGGGGCACGCGTCATCTGCTCCTGCTCTTCCTTGATTTGTCATAGTCACCACGGTCAGGCTGGGAGCAAGACTGCTCTTTGCTTCTTTATACCCCCAAATGTTGCCACCCTCAGTGATAATCTCCAGAGTCACTCAGGTAGGGAAAAGGAAGGAAATAAAGGATGGTTTAATTAACAGAACTTTGTTTCTAGAAGAACCAGCACCTTCAAAACCCAGATAATAAAAAGCAGGTTGCAAGGAATACAGGTGCCTCCTAAGGCCCTGTCCAGTGTCAGATGACCTTTCTAACTGCTAACCTCACAGATAGGACCTGCTGTTTTAAGGACAGTGCAAGCTGAGACAGACCAAAGCAGCTTGCTCAAGAACAATAGGACATGATGGGGAGTGGAGCCCTGGCCAGCCCCTGCTCTTGGTACAGGAGTGCCAGGTCAGGGATGAGGACCAGTGGGAGGGCATTGAAAACAAGCCCTTCCTTCTTACCAAAGGGAGCTGCATGTAGTCTGGGCTGTCTTCACCCTGCTGCCGGGACTCTTGGGCGCTGGAGCCAGTGTAGGTGGCAGGTGAGGGTCTCACTGGAGATAAGGGAGCACCAAAGGAGAGCACTGAAGTCCCCTTCACCTGGGGCGCGCCCATGCTCAAAGCAAATGCCTGGCTGCTCCAGGCTAACTTTGCAGTTATCCTACTGAACTATTGATGTACAGGTAAATGTCCTGTATTCACTGGGAGGAGATTACACTGACCCTCTGAGTGCAGTTTGGGGGTGCTGGACTTCAGGGACAGATCAAGGATGGGTGTCCAGATATGCCACATCTCCTCTCCAGCCACACAAATTCCCTGTCTCGGCGATACAGGCAAACAGCTCGTGCCTGTCCTTGTGCCTGTCTTGCTCCTGTTCTACTGCTTATTTCTTATCACCCAGGCACTCGGCTGGAGCATTTTGTTGATCCTTATCGTAGCAGCTTTCCTCGCCCGCTGGCTCAGACCTTGCTTCAACCAGGCCACCCTCCTGCAGGCACGTCACTGGAGCAACTACATTGACATCGAGCAAAAGATTTTTGAGGAAACCTGCTGTGAGCACAGCCGGCTCTTTGCTCACAAATGCATCCTCCACTTCTTCGAAAGCATGCGGCAAGAGATCAAACTGCACAGCTTCAGCTTGCCTAGGGAGGGAGAGGGGGCTGAAGGAGAGGATGATCTTCTCCAGGGCATCACAGGTCAGGACCAGGTGAATAAACTTCTGAAAATGTGGTACTATGAGAAACCTCCCCTGGATGTCAGCCAGGCAACCCAGCGGCATCCCCTGGGGCGAAAGAGAGCCCTTCTGCCCTGGGAAGACAGCCCCGGTACCAGGTCCAAATTCCCCCAGCACACTGATGTGTAAAGGGGGTTTTGTCCTGCAGACACTGAAGGGGCACTGCCATACCTCTGCACAAAGTGCGTAGGTGACAGTGGTGCTCACTTCTTCCTCCAAAACCCCAACCCCAAAGGCTCCGCTCCAGGGCATGCCTAACAAAACCTCCAAAATAAACTAGCTCTGAACATCCAACGGTCCCCTACTCAGTCACTGTTAATGACATTGCTCAGCCAAGGGCTCTGCGTAGCACTTTTGTCATATTAAAGAGTTTGCAGCTCCTTACAGCTGTGATAAAACCCTTCTGGCTTGAGGAAGGATTTAACCAAGGCAGCAACATCTGGCTGCGCATGCAAACCCACTGGAGCAGCAGCTTCACAGAGGTGTGAGGAGCTCCTGCCCGTTTCAGTGAAACCTGGTTCAGAGACTTAGCAGTGCTGACACTGAAATGATTTAATTGGCAACTCTTTTAGTACCACACCAACATGTTTACTCAAAAAGGCAAAACCGCCTCCTACCTCTTCCCATCTGCTGAGAGCTCTGGCTGCCCCCAGCCCAGCTGCCAAACTGTTCAGCCTCCCTCTAACAACCAGTCAATACTTCCATGCATTTTCAAAACAAAATATGGCAACACACTGAAATTCACGGAGCAGCACAAATTTAAATGAAGATACCACTGGATAAGTGGCCCTGGATAGAGTTCGATTTGCAGAAGGAAAAGGAGATGGAGGCTTTGCTTAACATATCCAGAGCCACAGAACTGTGCTGGGGTTCAGGTGGCTGCTCTAAGCGCTGGCATTGGGCCATGGAAAGGACACTCTGACCCTGCCTGAGAAGTCTGAACACAGATTTTAAACACTCCCCTGCTAGATTTTAGTACAAACTGATCTATCCAGAGGATCGTCCTTGCATCACCTAGTTGGGCATTTCCATCCTTAGTTTCAAAACTGTTTGAATGTAACCTTATCTCTGAGCCCTTAATGCTAATTACTTTCTCACCTGCCTTTTTCCAGCCCCTGTTGTAGATGGTGCCAACCATGGTGCCAGTTTGACTGATATTTCTGTCCAGCATTGCTGCTTGGATGCATTAAACTCTTTACTGCAAACTAACGCAGTACAGACATATATATTCCTCCAGGCTGAGGCTCGCACCGATGCCCACTTTGTCCCTGGGAGTGAGGGGTGCAAAGTGGAGGGGCTGAGAGGAGCGGGGGTGAAAAAGAAACATCTCCTTGGCCAAGCATGGGTAGACAGGGCAAGCAGGAAAGAAGAGGGTGGGAAAGGGGCAAAGAAACCTGCCACCACCTTGTGACTAAATCCAAAACAAGGGGTCAAACCGAAAACACATATTAATCCCCCCAAATTAACTTGTCGAGCTGCTGTCACCTCCTCCCCAGGATGTTTGTGTGCACGGGGTCAGGGAGGGAGGAGATGCTTGGCAAAACACAGGGAGGCCAAATAACTCCATGGCCCAGCCGTGGGCAGCTGCACCCCTCTGCCAGCTGAGGCCCAGCCAGGAGCTGCGGGGTGCAGAGGGATGAGCTGCAGAGCTTTTCTTATTTGCGTAGCAAAATCAGCTCTGGCTGAATCCCTGAGCTCCCCTGGACGTGCTCAGAGAGGGCACAAAGCCAACGTGCTGGTTGGGACCGTGCGGTCTTCCCACCAGGAGCTCTTTAGGTCCAGGGAGCTTCTGAGCTCTCTTTTGAAATCAGCATTGCACTTCGAATTTCATGTCTGGTTTATTTTTATCAGACATGCCATCACAAATCTCAGGCTGAGACTCAGTTCGGACTCACCACCCCACGCTAGTCAAATGGGCTGTTTTCCTAACCAGCTCAGAGCAGAGGTCCGCAGCTCCTCTTTGCATGCTGCTTTCCGTGTTCTCGGGTTTTAAGTCATCCCAGAGTGGCCACAAAATACGAAATGCAAAAAAGGGGAAGAGGAAGAGCTTTGTTGTCTGTATCGGGAGGGAGGAAACTGAGGGTTTAAGGGTGCTACCATAGATTTTTTTAGGTCTACAAAGGCTCACACGCTGCTGGGAGGGTCAGTCTGGTCATGGGGTAGCTCCAGCTGGACGGGGCCATGGGTGTTCATCCCTCCCAGCCCTCCCCGAGTCCCACGCTGTGTGCCCCTTTGAAGCCAGAGAAGTCTTCTCCATTGTGGAAAATGGTATCTGGCACCCCATGACAGGCCAAGAGGCAACAGGCACAAACCCAAAAAGCAGGAAATTCCATTTAAACAGAAGAAAACACTTACTTACTTTGAGGGTGATGGAACAGGCTGCCCAGAGAGATTGTGGCACCTCCATCCATGGAGATATTCACAACTCTATCAGATGTGTCCCTGAGCATGCTTTGAGCGGGGGGGGTGCACCAGACAATCTCCAGAGGTCCCTTCCCACCAGCTCTGCTAGGACTGTGTACCCTCCTGTGGAAGTGGGAGCAGAGAGGGTTGTTCACAAACTTTAGCAGCTCTCTGTCTCTCAGGGCTGGTCTGATGCTTGACCTACAGACATGTCTGATGTGCTCAGGGATCCTCACCTGCCAAGAGCCCGTGAAACAGCAGGGCTGACTGCACAGGCAGCTTCCCCAATCCCTTCACAAACTCTCCTGATGGGAATTGTGACTGTTTTCATGTGCCTCCTCTCTATATCCTACATTGACTGGGACACGCAAAGCCCTCCCCAAGTCCCTGGCTTGGTGTCTGTCCAGGTGCAGGACCCCATGCTGGGAGGGACTTAGGCATGTACCATCTCTCCCAGGACGTGGTTGCCAAAGCACAAGCAGGTTGGGATCGTGGGAGGAAGCACCAGCTCTGCCTTCTCTTGCAAATCGGTTGGAGTGAACTTCCTGTTGGCAAGCTCACGAAAACAAGGTCCTCCCTAACAAGGCAACACGGAAAGAAAGACCCAGGCATTGGCTTCTAAGGGCTCTGTTTTGAATCCCACTGACTTATTGTTGGCTTCAGTGAGAACTGCCAGTGCTGTACACCAAGCAGGCTCAGACCCCTCATTCATGCTTAATGAAAAGCAGAGTTTTCCTGGAGATCAAAAAGCTCTCTGCTTTTTACGAGGTTGATTCATGAAAGCTTTGATGTGAACTGCCCTTCAAAAAGCCACTTGCCAGGTGAACAAGGAAGCCAGCTTGAGCTCTTAGCTAGCAATACAATAAGCCTCATCTGTATTCATGCAGCCAAATCTCTTCCCATTTGATGAGATCATGCAATTAACCTCTCCACAGTAGGCAGAGCTAAGGCTGCCCACGTACTACCCACGTGCTTTGTGCTCAGCTCTGTGGTGGCATCTCAGGGTGAACTTGGCATTATCAACTGAGCCTGAGGGCTGGTCTGGGGTGAGATGTCAGAAACTGCAGCACTGACTAATGGTCAAAACACCTGGTTTGGCTTCCTACCTCTGTACTGAAGCACTGCAAAGCCTTGGGGAAAAGTATCTCCCGCATGCCACCCACCTATGTACAGCTTGCCTTGGTGACATGTCTCACAGCCACCAATACAGCTGCGCTGATGCCCAGTCAGATGTATCGTGATACTCATGTCAACAGCACAGGTGGTGCCTGGACCGGAGGGACTGAACGCCTTGCAGGTAGTCAATACTGCAACCATCTGTTTTATGGCCACTTGTAGTCCCAGTATTCCCCCACCTTTTGTCCAGCTTGAGGGAGCAACCTAGTGCGTCAAAGCTGCTTTGTGAGCTGGGAATAGAGATGCAGGAGAGCACCAACAACACAATCCCTTTCTTTTAGGTTTGTGCTGTAGGAGCTAAGCCTGGCCCAACCGTAGCTATCACATCTCATTAGTGTTTGTCTCAGTTCTGGCAAGCTGGGGGGGAGTCTGTCTGGTTGGCTCTGTGCTGGCAAATGTGCACAGGATCTCTGCATCGGAAAGCCCCCGGGTCTGCAGAGCTGACAGCAATGAGCTGAACTGAGCCGTGCCCTTGTGAAAGAGGAGAAGGATGGAAGTGATGGAGAAGCTTTGCACCCCAGTATCAACACATGGGACACGTCCACCACAGACCTGAGCTGGCTCTGCCCGGGCTGCTCCTGGTGTGCGAAGAGAAGGGAGGGCAATGGAGGTATTCAGGTCCGCTTGGGTCCAGATCAGCTGATGTTGCTACTGAATTAATAAGTCCAGGTAAAGCGGCACGGCTAAACTGTCAGCAATCCTGTGCTGTACAGACCAGCCCAGCACCCCGCTAGCTCAGTCCTCCCTGCACCACGCACTGGTTGCATGGGAAACGTGCCCTTAGACACTTTAGCCTCAGGTCAAGGCATATGGCCAAATCCCAGCCCCAGCCCCTCCTGCTAATCGGATGCACATTGCTGGCTCAGGTAGTCCTTGCTCTGCCCTTCCCAGCAGGATTCGAGTGATCTTCAGAGGAGCAGCTCCACTGCACCCTCAGCCCCCGGGGCTGCTGGTACCCGCTGGCCTGATGGGCAGGAAGGGTTCTGCACAGTCCGTGCCTGCAGGTGGCCTGGTACTGCTGGGAAACACGGTCCCTCGGGGGACAGTGGCTGCCCGTGGGCCCGAGAGGTCACTGGCAGGATTTACACATCCTTCTTGCATTCCCAATTCCTGCACATCTCAAATTTATCAAGGGGCTGGGGATTGTACCTACAAGAGGCGGCTGCAAGAAAATCGTTCAGCCTCCATCGCTGCCATTCAGAGCAAAGTGCACTCAAGCCCTTCAGAAATGCTCACTGAAGGTGGGTGAAAAGAAGAAATCTCAGGGGGAAACCTGAATCTCAGAGCTCTGCTGGGCAGGGAGCATGTCCTGAGAAAGCAGAGGCACCCAGGGCTTTCCCGCCTGCGGAGCCGGGTGCATCCTCTGCACCCCTGTCCCTGCAGCCCTCTCTCCTTTCTCTGCCTTTTTTTCTCCAGCCCTAAAGCCAGGAAAAGCTCTGTGTGCCTCTGGATGTCACCAGACTATGTGAGCCAGGGTTTGAAGGATATTTTAGCAAGCCCTGAGGGCACAGGGCTGTGAAAACCAGGGAGCTACAAGTGTCATCTTGTAAGTCTGGCTGAAACGTGGACATTTGTATGACGGAGGGGAGCGAATAACAGGCTCCGGCAGTACAGATACAACATCCCAGAGCACCAAGAGCTTTACCCTTCCTTCCTCTGCCTTTCCTTTTATCTTCCCTTCCCTCTGCAGAATAAAACAGAGAAAAGGCATTTCCCAGTGAAGCAGAAGCAGGTACAGACCAGGGCAGACCTGTGAGGCGCTTGCATTAGATGCTGCTGGGGCAATGCGGACATGGAGGGAGGGGGAAAGCTCTGCTGCCCTGCTTTTCCTTGTGTGCTGGCACCACAGAGGTGGGGCGTCCTGAGCACCCACCTCCTGCATTTGCAAACAGGTTCACAGAGGCCGACCAGCCAACTCCCCTTTCTGCCCAGGGCACAGATTGCTCTGGGGAGGGCACAGCCATGGTAACACCTGCACCCTCCAGCCAAGGGGACCAGTGACCGGGAGACTGCAGAAATGGGGACGTGGAGAAGAATGAAGCCAGGTTTAGCAAACCAGAAACAACCCAGGTCCCACAGACCCAAAGAAGAGCAGGAGGAAGCAAACTCTGAACTTTTGCAAGCAGGAAAATCAGCAGAAAAAAACTGTTTTAATTTTCTGCTTTAAATATTGGGGCTGTAAGAGTACATAAATGAATCAGTGAACTGCACAGAGTCTTGCTGATGCCTATCTTTGAAGAGGGGGGTTGAAAGAATGAAGTAACCCGAGGCCACAGCTTGGACCCCGGTGAGGGGAGGAATCACATCAAGGGAAGATGGACAAGTTTCGGATGATCTTCCAGTTCCTCCAGTCCAACCAGGAGTCCTTCATGAATGGCATCTGCGGGATCATGGCCCTCGCCAGTGCCCAGATGTACTCAGCCTTTGATTTCAACTGCCCCTGCCTGCCGCGCTACAACCAGGCCTACGGGCTAGGCATCCTCCTGGTGCCCCCCTTCATCTTGTTCCTGCTGGGCTTCGTGCTGAACAACAACATCTCCATGCTGGCGGAGGAGTGGAGGCGACCCCAGGGCCAGCGAGGGAAAGACCAGGCCGTCCTGCGCTACATGTTCTGCTCCATGGCCCAGCGGGCCATGATCGCCCCGGCGGTCTGGGTCTCGGTGACGCTGCTGGATGGCAAGTGCATCACCTGCGCCTTCTGCACCTCGGTGCCCGTAGAGACCCTGGGCAACGCCAGCCACCCCAGCCTCTCCCAAGGGGACATGAAGCGGGTCCTCGCCCGCATCCCCTGCAAGGAGATCTACGATGGACAGGAGCTCATCGCCAATGAAGTGGCCATCAGGTACCTGCGCTGCATCTCGCAGGTAAGAGGCATCATGGCTTTGCCTTCGTGGGTGGTTTAGGGTTAGGCACTGCCAGCCTTAGCTCTTCCCTTGAGGGAATCTCCTTGTTGAAATCAAGCTGCAGAAGAAGAGACTGGTGATTTCGCAGGGGTACAAGGTGTTCAGACTCAGCTCCAGAGAGTTATGCCTCCAGCGTGGTGCAGAGATTGAAGCTGTAGGTCGTCCTGATAATTTGGTTCCCCCTCCTGCCTGGGCAGCCATACTCGGCCAAGCTGTATGCAGAGATTCATTTAGAGCAAGTTCAGAAGGGGCTGACGTGGATGTTACTGCTGGCTGGTGGGCTGTCACCCCCTCTCATAACTCACCAGTTGCCTGTGGTTGCTCTTGCTGCTTATTATAACGGGTGCAAGCGATGGGCTGATAACCATCCATGCCACTTGCCTCTGCTGCTTGCATGGAAACAGCCAGTATGTGTTTATTAACCATCCCAGGGAACCACAAATGAAGAAGTGCCACTAACTGCTTGTCCTGTGCTTAATTCCTCTCAAGCCCTCCGCTTCTGGCCACCTTGGAGACAGGATGGTCTGACCCACTCTGGTCACTCGTGTACTCCTGTTCAAAAGCAGCTCCTCTCCCTGACCTCCTCAGAGCCGACAGGAATTATTATCCCCAGTTTAAGAAGAGGAATGGAGGCACAGAGACTTTTCCAAAGACACAAAGCAGATTTTCCTGGGTAAACCCCAATTCCCAGCTGCCGAGAAGCACTGGGAGCTGCAGAACAAAAGGTGCCACCCAGATACCCCCCTGCCAGGTGCACTTTTGGGGGGCTGCATTTAGAGCGGGGTTCACCCTTGTGAGCTCTGCCTGCACAGCCTGAGCTGAGACCGATGGTGAACAAGACAGACCGGTCCTGGCTCTGCCCTCATCTCACCCTTCCTGTCAGGCCCCATTAACAGGGGAGCCTGTCACTGCTGCTCACCCACAATAGATGTTACTAAACCCAACAGCTCGGGAAAAGGCTTAGACAGCTGCATAAACGCAGGGAGTATCTGGAGCGACGTTAGCTGCAAGTCAGAGGACACAGACTATCCTAGATACAGGTGAGGCACAGCCGTATCACAGGCAGGACCGAGGGCTGGGTGCAGGATTCGGTCTGATGTTATTTATGGTCACTGCCTGCTGATGCCATACACGGCGAGAAGCAGAGAGGTGCTGCCTACAGGAGTGCGTCGAACAAAATTTCAGCGCAGATGCACTGACATGGTACGTAGGGTCTCCTTGTCTGGCATTTGCAATGTAAATGCAGCCAAATGTCAAATAGCCTGAAGTGGAGCCAGGCTCATCCGAAGCCCAGGGGACTTCTGCTGGCTGGTGGGATGTGCTGGGCGCGTGCTCTGCCTGCCTGTGACGGGTCTGGTTCCCCCCTCATCCCTACAGGCTCTGGGCTGGTGCTTTGTGCTGCTGATGACCACGCTGGCTTTCTTGGTCAGATCCCTCCGGCCCTGCTTCACCCAAGCCGCCTTCCTGAAGAGCAGGTACTGGTCCCACTACATCGACATCGAGCGCAAGCTGTTCGACGAGACGTGTGCGGAGCACGCCAGGAGCTTTGCCAAGGTCTGCATCCAGCAGTTCTTTGAGGGCATGAGCACGGACCTGGCAGCCGCTCGCTGCCACCC